AAAATCCAATCAAAAGTTGAAGTTATCTTTGTTATTTATTTTTTTATTATTTTTTAGGTTTCTGTTAGCATTAATTTAATTTATGTTGAATGAAATCAAAAACAGTTATTTAGAAAGAAGGGGGGATTATTTGTGAAAATTTATTTTGCGCTTTAGATCGCGAATTTTCTATGGCAGTCGAGGAGTGGTGGCGCAATCCTGCTGAAATGACACTTGGAAATGTAATTGTTTGTGCTTTAGTTTCTAGCAAAAATTATTATGATCACAATTAAATTAACACTACAACTTTGCAAAATTTTTTCGCTAAACTTCTCATCATAGAATAATAAATCACAAAGACGGTTTAGATAGGATTATTCACAGCAACAGAGCTCGGATGTGGATTTGCCAGTTGTGTTAATGAGAATCTTCAAATGACAGTCGATATGGTTTGCCATTACTGGCCGATGTAAGGCATTTCTTAATGAAATATTTTCAAGGAAATTAATTAATATAATTTCCATATGAAAAAAAAGAAAAAACAAATAAATATGTCAACTTTATTTGATAGATTTATCATTCCAGAAATGATCCAAACCAATTCTATAATTACGAAATTAGTTGCGAAACGAACGACGACTGTTCGTCATTACCGAATTCTCGATGTGATTTTAATCAAAATATTTGCATTTCAAAAATGTAAAATAAAAGAATAATTTTAATAATTTTTACTAAATATTGCGATTATCCTCAATCTCCTCAATTTGTTTATAATTCCTTTTGTATAAACTAAAAATTATATTTTATGAATATTTATTTGATGAATAAAAAATTAATTTAAAGAAAAATAAAAACATTTTAAAAATATTTATTAAAGTATCGAAATCAGTCGGTATGTCGGTATGTTTCATTTGTTATTATCGAATTTTTTGGAGAGGAGGATGAAGAATGAGGAAGGAGGAATGGAAAGGAAAAGGAAGAGAGGGACGAAAGTTTGCGAAGTCGATTCGATTATGAAATTGGCGTTTATTTGCTGAAAACAAGCCAAACAGGGCGACAAACGCCATGTGTTTGTATTAATGACAACAGTTAAAATAACATAATAATAATAATGATTAAAAAATCGGTATTTTACAAATTAGTGATAAGAGAACGTTCCTACTGATAATTTAATAATTTACTGAAATATATATTTTTAAGATCTCTCACCATTAATGGTTAAACTCGTCTCGTCTGGTTTATCGCACTGGAAAAATGTGTTCAAGGAGTCCCTTGGTAATAGAAGTAGAAGTGAGTTCGCCAGCAACATCCGAATTTTCCCACAGGAATACTCCTGTGATGAATAAAACCTCATCGCAAGCGTTCTAAACTGAGCAACAACCCAATGAGCCATTAATTTGCTGAAATAAAATTATAAATATGCTTCCAAAAATACTTAAAAGATTTTTACGAGCAATTTCGATAATTTGATTTTTTACAGTCCAAAATATTTATAGAACATTTATTTGTAAATATATTAAATATATTTAAATATATTTATTTAAATCACTGACAAAAATTTTCGCTAATAATAATAAATAATAAAATTCAGCAAAATATCAATAAAAATTTCAACAGTTTTAATGACAATAAAAATAATATTAGAATAAATATTTATTTAATATTTATTTATAATTTTTAAAATATTTATGAAAAAAGAGACCAATCCCAATTGGTTTACAAGCGTTTCAACCCGATGCCAATTTGTTTATAATTTCGTTTTGTATAAATTAAAATTATATAAAAAGATTAAAATTTTTCAATCACTTTGTATTCAATCATTCAATTTGTATTATTTAAATAAAAGTCAAAAAATTGATGCAAAAAAAATGAAAATGTAAGAAAAAATTATCATTTTATAAATGTAAAAACATTTATATTAATTTCGCAAAAAATTAAAATTATTAATTTATTTTAATTATTTAATAAATATTAATTTATTTCGCAAGTTTTCAATAATCGAGGCAACATATGATATAACTGATAAAGAAAATAAATAATTGATAAAGGTAATAAATAGGTGATAAAGATAATAAATAGTTGATAAAGATGGTGCAGTTTTTGTATGAATCTATGGAATGTTCAGTCCTATAAGTAAAATTATACCTTTCATACCTTTGAATATTTGAAGTAAATCAATTATGGAACTATAGCAAATAACGAAGAAATGTTTTTTGCGACAAATATTTTATTATTCAAAAACATTATCGTTTTTCTGGAGAGAATTTTCAATGAGATCGTGCGAATTTTCTATAAAAAAAAGCACAGCTATATTTTTCGTGTTCCATGCTATAATAAGAAGACATTAATATGCTTCATTTAGTTTAGGTTTTGGTTCAACGACCTGGTGTTGGAACATGAAGTACCATCAGAGGAATATTTATAACATTATATGATCAAAAAATAATACAGTGGATGCCAAGAAGCAAAAAGTGTTTGTTGAAATTTGGAAATGATGTTTTTCATTTCAATTTACAGGATATCCAAAGATTTTTCTTCATGGTGGATCTTCAAAAGTTGATTAAAATTTTCTGCGCTCCACAGTCGAAACCGATCCAAAATAAACATTGAATAAAATAGCATTCTATGCTCTAAGAATAAATTAGTGTTTGGGCTCCACAACAATTTATCAAAGAGTACACCTTCAGGATCGACGATTTTTTTCGGAAAAGCTAAAAAGAACCATTTTTGGAGCCATAGTATTGTAATTTTTGGATACCGTTGGTGTTACGAACTCTGATCGTAATAATCGAAGCAATAAATATTAATGGCAAGAGAAATGCCAGTAACAATCATTATAGAAAAGTGCTATAAATGTGCGGTGACAAATAAAGGTGACAACAGTTCATAACTATTAACCGCTCAGCTTTACTGTAAAAATCTTTTCGTTACAAAAAAATGATAATATATGATGACAATAATTTAATAAAGATCCGAAAATTGATAATTTATTCGCATGTATTAATTAAAAAAACGTGGGTAAAAACATGTTCAGAGTGAAAACGATTTCATTGGGTAGGGACGACCATTGATTGGCACTGTTAACAATGATAAAACTGATAAAATCAGTTCCGACTGGTTTATATTAGCTTCCGTGCTAATCTTCTAAATCCTGCAAATTATGCAGTAGCAATTTATGAAAAGAAATTCAAAGGCGATGGAATATATGGGCCGATACCAATTTGTTTCCTTAAGAATTCTTTGAAACCAATGAGATGTATGAAATATAAGTTTATTCCTCCAAAAGGTCAAAGGGCAAAATTAGTATTTTAAAGTTTTAAAATTTCGTATTTATTCGTGGGTTATATAAAAAATCACGAGACAAACTTCCATGTTAATTAGCTAATTTCCATGTTTATCAATGGGCTTATAAGCCCTATTTGAACAAAACTTCTCGTAGACCTTTACACGTCAGCTTTGCAGTCTTTCGCTGGTTCTGCACCAAAAATGGGAACGTGAAATGCACCCCCTTCCCCCCTCACTCGACTACACCTTAAATTTCAATGACGGACCGCGGGCCATGGCCGTAAAAGATTTGTGGCAAGTATTTTAGTTATGTGTAATTTTGTGATGAATCTATGGCGATTTGAGTGGTTGTTAGTGGAGAAGTGTGGCGGGTTTTATTTCCAGGTTTTTTCAATAGTTCCAAATTAAAGTTCGGTTATTCCTGGTTAATATTTCGAATTTCCGCCAGTAAAAATTCCTTATTTTACTTATTTTTCATTTATTTTTTTATTTCCATTAAAATAAAATATTTAAATTTTTAGCAGTTTTTTAATTTGTAACAAAAATTAATAAATTGAAATTATTGAAACCTATTTGTGAAACTAATCTGATATGGTATAATTTTTTTATTGATATTCTTTTTTAAAGAACTCACCATTACTCGTTTAGACTCGTTCTTCTGGTTCACTGCACTAGGCAAATATGCCAGGGAGTTCTTTGGTACTAGAAGGTGAGTCACTAGTACCACCTGGACTTTTGGACAGGCTTGTTCCTCTCGGGAGAGTTCCAGGATCCAGCGCTCCGAATTGAGCAATAACCCACTGAGCCATTTTATTCTCCTTTGTTTTTTCCCCGATGAAGAGTGGTCTATCGGCGAATCGAATCCAGGTCGATTCTCTGTTGAGCCACCGCTAACCACAATGATGCTAGAAGAAAATGTTTTCATTTTTTTATAAAATTTTTAAATTTTTAAAAACTTTAAATTTTATTAAAATTTCATTTTTTGATATTTTTCCAGGTCTATTATTTATCCTTTTTTTTTTTAAATTATATTTGTTTAAATTAAATTGTTTTTGAACAATAAAATTATCTGTAAAAGCCATGTCAAGCTATGCCATTCGAGAAATTACTAAAGGAACGGGCGATGTTAACGTAAATGGTATTTTCTTTTTTCTTTCTTTTATATTAACTAATTTATTTTACAATTTTACTAATTGTTATAGATCTTTTTGTTTTCAAAAAACATTTATATGTTTTTAGGCAATGATAAAAAGTTATCAAGGAAGGAATTGAAGAAACAACAGAAAAAAGCCGAATTTGAGCGAGAAATTTCAGCAATGGGTGGTAAAGCTTTGCTTAAAAGTGGTAACACTGAGGAAAAAAAAGGTAGATGATTGTGGTTTTTATAATAGTTAATATATTAGTTCGAAATGGTATGTTTCGATTTTTCTCCAAATTTTGCCAGAATAATAATTTACTTGTATACTTTACCTGTATATTATCTAATCTTTCCGGTTTTTTTCCATTTTATCTACCAGTTGCTATAAATTTTATTTTATTCATATGTTATTTCACTTTTTGTTCTTTGTGACAATTCAGTTGGTGGAATTGGTGCTGGTGCTGAACTGGGTGATCAGTTCTCGTTATCTCAGCAAAGTAAATCTGGCGCTTCGCTGTCATTGCTTGAGAATGCCATTGATATCAAGGTTTTTATTAAAACTGTGTTTTTTCTTCCTTTTAATCTTCCTTTTTAATGTTTTTTAATCTTCCTCTTCTATTTTTTTTTCAATTTTAATTTATATTATTTTTATTAATTTATTATTTTAATTTATGTTATTTGTTATTTTTTATTATTATATTTATTTTTATTAAGTGTTAAATTAAATTATAAATTTGATTCTTTAAATATATTTTAAATTCATTTTAAAATGTTTTGAAATGCCTAGATCTTTTTAAAAATACTTTTTATTCAAAAATTTTCGTTTATTCAGGTGGAGAATTTTGATATTGTAGCTCAAGGAAGAGTATTGTTTAACAAGGCAGATTTGACCATAGCTTTCGGAAGACGATATGGTCTCGTTGGACCAAATGGGTATGCGTGCTTTGATTATGGGTTTTCTATAAATGTTTATTCAATAATGTTTTTTGAATGTCGTAATTTTATCTTTACAATATTGACTATCATTTGGTTGTCATTTTTCAAATTAAGCGATGATGTAATGCCAGAATGATTTTTAGTATGGGTAAAACAACTCTTCTAAAACATATCGCTGCCAGAAAATTTGATATTCCTTTAACTATAGATCTGCTGTATTGTGAACAAGGTTGTTAATTTATATTTTTCCAATTTTTTTTCATATTTTCTCATATTTTATTTTCCATGCTTCCTTAAATTATCGCTTCCTCCAGAAATTGAAGTCGACAATACTTCTGCAGTTGAAGCAGTAATAAAATCGGATAAATATAGGTTGTCATTGTTAAATGAAGAAGCTGAACTTACAAGTAAATTGGAAGATGGCGATATTACTGTTAGTGGAAGACTTAAGGAAGTATTATTTTCATCATCATTAGTTTTCTAAAATTTTCAATATTTGTGGATGTTAAATTACTTAATGATCCGCAGAATTTTCTTAATTTCAATGAATCTCATAAAAAATGATTCAAAGTTATTAATTAATTCAGGTATCAGATGAACTTCAGAATATTAATGCAAGTGCTGCAGAATCTAAAGCACGTCGCATTTTAGCTGGATTAGGTTTTAATAAAGCTATGCAAGAAAGGGTTAGTTTCCTTTTATATCGTGAATTTTAAGAAAAGTGAATAATTTTTTTAACTTTAAATTTAGTAATTATACTTCAATTTTATTTCTGAGATTTTTCAGCCAGTGGAAGCTTTTTCTGGTGGTTGGCGTGTGCGAATTTCTTTAGCACGTGCTTTATTTCTTGAGCCAACACTTTTAATGCTTGATGAACCGACCAATCACTTGGATTTAAATGCAGTTATTTGGCTAGACAAGTTTGTAAAAAAAAATATTTTATTTGTTATTTTATTAATATTTATTAATAGAAATTCTATATGTATTATTTCAATATTTTAATATTTTTTCATTTTTTTAGTTATTTGCAAGGATGGAAAAAAACACTTCTTATTGTTTCCCACGATCAAGGTTTCCTTGATAATGTTTGTACGGATATAATCGATTTGCATGATCAAAAATTGTACTATTACAAAGGAAATTATAGTAAGTTATATTATATTTTAGTAATTATAGATATAATAATAGTTGTAGTAATTATAAGTTGTGGTAAATTACATTTTTAAGTCTTTGTTTCTATTAACTTTTGTTAGCATTTTTTAAATCGCTGAATAAGCTTTTAACTAGCCTTTCAATTTTCAGCTTCATTCAAAAAAATGAAGGATCAAAAATTACGAGAACATTTAAAAGCGTATGAAAGTCAGCAGCGACATTTAACCAGTTTGAAAAAGAAGGGCAAAAGTTCTAAGCAAGCTGAAGATGAGATCAAAATATTTATGCAAGCTAAACAAAATAAAGCCAATAAGGGTTAGGCAGATTCTCTTAATGATGCTGATGGAAATTTAAAGAAATAAATTTTTTCCGCTTGGTCAGTCAGAAAAAACTGGTTTTTTAAAAGATACAAACCACTAAGTAATTAAATTCATTTCTCAATTTTTTAAATCTATATCATTAATTTTCGCTATCAGAAATTTTCAGAAAATGTCGGTTCGCAAGAGTTACTGCAAAAAGTTAAGGAATATAATGTTAGATTTTCGTTTCCTGATCCTCCAAAATTGGCTCCACCTGTTCTTGGTCTTCATAGTTCGTTTTCTTTTTCAAATTGCACCAAAATTTTCGTTGCGAAATTATATGTAGAATAATTTTAGAATTTTTTAAATAAATTCTTTAATTTTAAAACTTATTAAAAAAAAACTTATTAAAAACTTATAGATGTATCTTTTGCTTATAAGGACCAAATTATTTTTAAAAATGTGGATTTTGGTGTTGATATGGAATCTAGAATTGCTGTAGTTGGTCCGAATGGGGTTGGAAAATCAACTTTGCTCAAACTTTTATACGGAAAGCTTGAACCTGTAATCTTTCAATTTTTCAGCTTTTATTCATTATTTATTTATTCATTTTATTTTATATTTTATTTAGCTCCATAATTTTGAATTTATCATAATTTAAAATTCGGATTTCAGCATCAGGGCGAAGTGCGTAGGCATCGCCAGCTACGGATTGGTTGGTTTGATCAGCATGCCAATGAAGCTTTAAATGGTGAACAATCTCCCATTGAGTACCTTGTCACTAGATTTAAAGTAGATCCCCAGGTTTGTTTTTTTCGCTTTTGTTCCATTTTTTTATTTCATCAACCAATAGTCATTGCAGCAAAGTGGCATAAATTGAAAATAAAACAATTTTTCGTATGATAAGGTTTCTTTCATTCTTTAATTTTGCGCGATAATCTCATTTCTAAAAATATTGTTCAGCTTGCAAGGAAACATTTGGGAACTGCAGGTCTTTCTGGTCAGTGTCATACTGTGAAAATAAAAGATTTGTCTGGTGGCCAAAAGTCGAGAGTTGCATTGGCAGAATTAGCTCTCGGAGCTCCTGATATCCTTATTTTAGTATCTTTTTTCATCTTTAATTTTTTTTGTGGTTGTATTCATTTTTTTTCTTTCTATTAGGATTTCCAATTTATTTACGTTTATTTAGGATGAGCCTACTAATAATTTGGATATCGAGTCGATTCATGCCTTGGCTGATGCTATTACCAGTTTTGGTGGTGGTGTTCTCATGGTAACTCACGATGAACGCTTAATTCGCGAAACTAATTGTCAACTATGGATCGTTGAAGATTACGTATTTTTTAATTTTTTTTGACGTATTATAGAGTTTTGTTTCTTATTTTAAAAATTATTTCTTGAATAATTCAAGAATTAAATAATGGATGTAATTTAACGGTATCCTAAAATTCGAAATTCTGAAATCAAAAATAATTTATGAAATTCGTAAAAGGAATAAATTTTAAGAAATGTTCTAAACTACTTTTATGGCTATCAGAATTTCATAAATAAATTTCGCCTTCTTCTATGGTAAAAAAAATATCAGAAATACATTGATCTTAGAAATTGAAATTTTTGAGGTTTTAATAGTTTTTTCTCGTTCGGGATTTTGATTTTCTGGATTTTCAGCGATTTCAAATTACAAACTATAAATTTATATAAATTTAGGCTATTTACTTTATGCACTATTTTCCAATCTTTTCTTGAAACTCGAATTTTTTCAACGTTAAAATATTGTCAGCCTAATAAAAATAAGTTTCAGTTTATGGTTTTTTATCGCAAAATTTCCAGGGAATTGCTGAAATCGATGGTGATTTTGATGACTATCGTAAAGAGATTCTGGAACAGCTTGGTGAAACTTTCGCTTTGCCTTCAACTTAATATCAAAAATTTTGGTTATTTGTATTATTTATTGCAAAAAAATGCCTTCATTCATTGGTTCAGAGCATATTTGAATCACCATCATTCAAAATAATTGAAACGTCTAGTTCGGTTTGCACCAGTGGCTGCATATAGAAATTTTCGCTAGAAAAATCATTTAGCAATAGGTTTATAAACAAATTTTTTTTGTGTGATGTAAACATACGTCAGATATTTGCAATAAATTAAAAATGCGTAGATTAAATTTCTAAATTTTATTGATAGGTGAATGTTCATGTATTTCTCTATAAATTATTTAGGTTATTTCTCATTTGCCGTGGTTATTTTTGTTTTGTAAAACTTATATGCATGCTTTTTACGGCTTTTTTTCTTCGAAAAAGTAATTAATTTATTATGAAAAATCATAAAATCATTTTTTTTTTTGATAATTTTATCAAAATTTTTCTTTTTATTTTTCTTCTAAAAAGTTCTATGAACTTAAATTGTAAGTTCATGAAAACCAAAGTAACGAACAGTTTCTTTTGATTGAAAGATTATCCAGTGTTTTAAATTAAATTATTCTTCAACTAATTAAAGCATGATAATGGATGAATTTAGTTTTAGATAAAAGTTTTTAGATACGAGAAGCCTTTATTGAAGCGATTTACAGTTACTACTGATATAGCTGATAGGAATTCCATCTTTCATACCTCAATTCCTAAGTGATTCATTGGTAAAAATGATTGTTCGTAAAAGAATTAAGTTCATTAATTTGCTTTTAGTTTGAAGAAATTAACCTATGAATTTTTCAAGCAATTTATAATTAATAAAAGATTTGTGATTTTCACAAAAAATTACTGGTATCTTTTGAATAATACAAATGTCCCATTGAAGGGTACAATAGACGAGTTTGGTTTCGATTATCGTGTTAAAAGGCAATATCACATTAAATCATGGATGAATTAACTGAATAATTGAATTATCGTAGTTCCAATAATTTCCAATTTTTTTCCAATTCTTTTTCAGTTTTTTTTTTTTAAGCAATTATAAATAAGAAAAAGCAAATAAAAAAGAATATTATTTTTTATTAAAGAAAGTAATATTCTTTATAGTTGAAAGCTATTATTTCAAGAGTATTCAACAACATTTAGTATTCAACGTTTTTGATTTGGCTCTCTCCTCTGGTTATTAGACCGACTTATTAGCCAGAGGGTCACTTGAGAATAGAAATATAAGTGGACGCCAGCTCCGTCTTCCATTTTTTATTTTTGAGTGATAGGTTTTTAAGCCTAAGGCTGAGCCCTGTTGCTAACTTAACCTTTAATATATTATCATTTTATCTCCATTTTTATTTTTTAAAACTTAAAAGCAATTTTGTTTCCTAAAATCTCTATTTCATTTCTTATTTCTTCAATTAAAGGAAATGTAAAAATTCTGATCAAAGACATAAACAATCCTATTTCTCCAGTTTTGTAAAATTTTTTCAATTTTTAAATCTGTTGGTTTTTTATCATTGATTTTTAATTTTTGTTACATGCCTTAAATACTTTACATATTTATATGAGGGTTGGGCAAGAATGGCTGAGTGGGTAATACCTCAGATTATGAGTTGAAGATTAAGTAAAGATCCTTGGTTCATACCCCGACAGTAATAAGAATATCAATAGTAAAAAATTTGGGTAAGTTTGCTGGTGAGCCACTTGTGCTTCTTTCATCGATTGACTCCTTGGCTTTCTAATTGCATTAATGGCAGTAAAGCGAGAAACTGCTTTTTTTTTCTAATATACATTAAATATTACATATTTTTTCAAAAATATATATTTAATATATTTATATTTTTTCTTTTTCGCAATTTTTACTAATTACCTTAATTACCTTTTTCTGTAATTAATATTCTGTTAATTATTTAAATATAAATATAAATACAAATGAATATTAATATTATTTAAATAGAATATAAAATGTATATGACAAAATATAAATTTTCTCTAATTGTTAATTAATTAATAACTTTCGAGAATTCTATTCATCAAAAGAATTTTATTTTAACGAACAAAGGGCAAATGTAATTCGAGATTTTTAGTTTGAATTTTTTTTAAAAATGATTATTATTAAATATTAATTAATGATTTGCATGCGGTAGGTTTTTGGTGGAGAATAATAAAATAAAATAACAATGGAGGTTTTTTTTAAGAATCGTTTTAAAAAGTACAAAAAATATGAAAAATTCCTTAATTGTGCCAATCAAAAAAAAATTTGAATCTAAAATTTAAATTTAATTTGAATTTAAAACAACTTAAAGTTCCAGAAAATTTTTAATTTTATTTTAGCTTTCAATTTAGTTTTATCAAAAATTCTAATTTAAATAAATATAAATAAATACAACATTAATTTTTGTTTCGCAATTTTACAAGTGTAATTAGAAGTTTTTATCAGCGAGCGAATTAATCAGTTGGAGTGAATCACTTCAGTTAGTTAATAAGTCAGTCAATCAGTGAGTCAGTCACTTGGCGATAGAAGTACAGTTGGGCTGAACGTTAGCGGTGTGGGGAGGGTTTTTTTTAAATTTGTTTAAATATAAATAAAATTTTGTAGAATTAAATATTATAAGAAAGAAAAAAAACAAAAAATATTAATAATTACAATGATGAAATTTATGAAATTTTTGCAAAATTTCTGAAAAAAAAGATTTATTAGCGATAAATTTTTATGCTTTTCTTCTTTCTTCTAACAGCTCTCACTCGGGTGACTCGGTTCGACGCCATCGCTAACGTTAAATTCCATCACTACTAATAGAAATTTTCCATCGTCTAAGTCCATATGTTACTGGTCCACCTGTACGTTCGAAACCTTTCCTGACCCTTATCAGTCCAGGTTTTTTTATTGAACCTCCTCGCTTTTGACGCCAACCATCACACGCAAGTAACGAAATATGCATCAACTCCTGTGGTAGACGACGGAGAACGTGTCCTAAGCAGCGAAGGCGACGCTCTTTGATAATATTATCAATACGGGTGGTATTTGAGCGAAGATGTATTCTTATAATTTTTGAGAGTTTAAACTTAAAAAATCGTTATATATGTAAAAAAAAAATAAAAATAGAATAAAATATTGAAAAAAAAAAGATAGAAAGAGGCATCCAAAGTAATTTTTAGGCATTAATGGCTAAAACTAAAATGCAAACGATAAAGAAAAAATCGAATAAATCTAACTGACTAATTGCCTGGTTTGACTGACTTTCCTTTCCACGAACCTAGTTTGATCGCAAAAGTATTTCCTATAGAATTTTTCAAAATAAATAGCAACGATGAATTCGATGTAAAAATATTATAATTTCAATATTCCATTTTCATATTTTTCACTCATTTTTTTTGTTTATTTTTATTATTTTTGTTATTTTATAATTATAAAATATTTGTATATTTGAATGTTTAAAATTTTCTTTTCTTATTTAATTCCATTTTAAAATGAATGATTAGCGCTCACTTCTTTTTGGTTAATTCAATTAGAAATTAGCGCTATTAGGAATTTTCTACGAAATCGTTAAATTCCATCACTACTAATAGAAATTTTCGTTCTTCTACTGTATATATGCTAAATCCTAAGTTAAAAAAAAATGGAAAAAGTCGCAAATTTCGCAAAATGATTATTATTTCAAGCATTATTATTAAAGGCGAAATTGTCGCATTCCACTAAATAGCCAAGTGATTTCCCTGGTAAAAATTTATTTGTCTAATTGCGACGACTGCTTTAATCCACGAAATCAGTCGATAATTTATTTTGGGAAAAAAATTGTCAAATTATTTAAAATTAAATTGCCAAATCAATTTGTTTATTTAAAATAACGAATTAATTAAACGTTTTAATTAAATATTTTTTCATATCGTATTAAATGATTTTTATTACGAAAATAAGGCATTTAATACGCATTAAATATAAAAAATATAAATAAAATATAAATAAAAAATATTAAAAAAAAATTTATGGTCAAATAATATTTAATATTTTTGATCAAACAAATAAATTTTTTTTTTTTGAAATATAAGAACCCTCGTCCTCGCAGTCGAATGCGAATTCTATTATAATTTTATATATATATAAATATATTTTTTCGCGCAATATTTCAAGAATTTGTTTGTGTTTAAGTGATTTATTTATTCGTAATAATTCAAGCAAGTTGAAGATAACAGATTGATAATGGAAATGCAGTTGGAATTATAATTTGAGGAATTGGAAAAAGGCGCGAAGAAATTAGGAATCAAATCCTAGGATTGGATTGTTTTGAGAAAGAAAAAACTGACTATTTGGGGGGTGGTTTTTTTCTTTTTAGCATTCTTTCTGGAATTTTTAAATTTTAAATAGAAAATAAAAAATTTTAAATAGAAAATTAAGAAATTAGAAAAAAAATTATGAAATTTTATTCACTATTCTAATTTACTTCAATTGAATTTTTATATTTTTTTTCGAAAACATTTGGAGGTTTTGATTGTTGGGTTTTTTTTGGGATGAATTAGTCTTATCCGAGCGTAACTTAGAAAAAATGTGTAGGCATTCCTTGCTTCATAGGGGCAGAATGGCTTAGTGGGTTGTTGCTCGATTGGAGCGCCGACACTGAGGTTCGTTTCCCTGCAGGAGTAAACCTATAGGAAAATCTGGGCGACTTACCTATATTTCTATCGTTAAAGGAACTCCCTGGCATATTGCTTATTGCTCAATGTGACGATACCAGTGGAGCGAGTTTAACCAGTGATGGTGAGGATTCATTATCATTTATCATTCCTTGCATCATACGTTCTTCCTTTTTCTCGAAAGGTCAGAGATCAAATTATATCTTTAGAAACCACCTGGATTTAATTTCACCGTTTTTCACCGTTTATAATCAATTTTTTTTGTAATAGTCCTCATCATTACTGGTTAAACTCACTCCGCCGGTTTGTCGCACTGAGCAAATAAATTGAGCAACAACCCACAGAGCCATTCCATCCCAAAATCATATATACCTATTTATTGTTCAGTTTTCGCGTTGAAAATCTCTTCTCGCATTCCAGTACTTGAATGGTTCCACAATAATTCTCCTCGTTTTTTAGTGTAATTCTATCACGAATGTTATAGAGAAATTGTATACAAACAATTTTTCAACGGGTATTTTCAGTTTTTGTTGTCGTTTAATTATTTATAATAAGTTGAATAGAAAAATTATATAAATCTTGAAAACTGGTTATGAAAATAACTGAATTTCGTTGTTCATTTTCATTTATTTCATTTTGTATAATTTAAAATTTTTAAAAATTATTTTCTATCAATTTCCAAATTATCATTTGCTACAATAAATTTTTTTCAAATATTGTGGTTTTTTTGCAATTTTTTTATTATTATTTTAATATAATTATTATTTTAATATTTTAAAATAATTATTATTTTAAAATAAAATAATTAATAAATAAAACTATCGTTTATCGATTATGATAGAATTAAGGAGAGGGATGAATCGCCATACAACATAGAGGATTTTTTAGTGATAAATTTATTTTTGAAGGAAGATTAAGGAAAAATGAACAAGATTCAGTGAGTACGATGATGAGATCGGTGCTATCCTCGTGCTGCAAGACCCTCTTGATGCTTATTCGCCCTAATTCATTATAAGAGGGTCGCATACTAGCCTTATGCCGACTAGGACAACGCGCCGATTAATGAATGTCCGGTGTCAGATATATTTGATCATCTGATTGCCATCATTTTTCTCTTTTCCTAGACGACGACCTATTTCTCGTCGTTTCTCGTTTCATGAATATGAATAATGAAACATTGCAAGTATCGTCGAATACTTGGGATCTAAAAGAAATCCCCGTTTCATGTTTTAATGGGACCTATTTCTTTAGAGTATTTTCTCGCTTTCTCTTCATAAAAAAATTTAAAATTAAAATTTCACCGCTTTTTATCACCTTATCACTTTTTTATCGCTTTTTATCACCTTCCAATAAATTTATTTTCTTTTTAAATCTCTTTTAGTCCACACATCTTCAGCTTTTTTTTTCTTGGCCATTCCTTCATTTCTTAGCATTTTAATGATTTCCGATAAATTTTCCGATTGAATTATCCTACTTAGCGATTATTCACCTTTATTTTCCTTCTCCTTTACGAATATCCTTTCATAATTTTTCTCAATCTTTGATTTATATTATATTATTAGATAATCTATTGTCTTTTCACATGCATGCATTATGCAAACATGCATGCTGCATGTTGCATGCATAAATATACATGCAAATCATTTTATGTATATTTTAAAATTTATATTAATATTTAATACTAATATTTTAAAATTTTGGACAAATCGAGTTTTTATCAATTTATATATGAAAACGCTTTTTCTTAAGCCTAACAACCAAATTCAATATGTGTATTGGTTTAAGCAATCAGAAGAAGCAATACACTTCCATATATAAATAAATTCATTATATAAAAGAAGTCTAGACAAATTGTTTCGGCCAACTTAATATTTATTAGAAAATTCTCTCTTTATTAGCTAATATTCCAATCATCCATCCATCCATTCGTCCGTCCGTCCATCTCTCCATCCATCCATCTGTCCGTCCATCCATCTGTCTGTCCATCCATCTGTCCGTCCATCCATCTGTCTGTCCATCCATCTGTCTGTCATCCATCTGTCCGTCCATCCATTCGTCCGTCCGTCCATCTCTCCATCCATCCATCTGTCTGTCCATCCATCTGTCCGTCCATCCATCTGTCTGTCCATCCATCTGTCTGTCATCCATCTGTCCGTCCATCCATCTGTTCGTCCATCCATCTGTCCGTCCATCCATTCATTCATCGTTCAATAATTGTTCCATTTTTATGTTATGCTATTTAATTTTATTGCTTCTTTTGCCTTTGTTACTATTATTATTTATTATTATTATTATTATTGGAAAATTGATTTTTTCTTTCAGTATTATTTTTTTATATTTTTATGATTTTAGTCGCTTAAATCTTTTTTATTTAAAAATTGGAATAAATCATTTGTCTCTATCTATATGGAATTAATTAACATTGAATTTATGCTTGAAATTCATTCGTATTTTACAAATGATTCGCGGGGTTTTAAGTCGATTAGAATAAATTTGTCGTGCCAAAAATCTAACTGACATTGTGACGACTCGGTTCAATTCGCTATACTTCTCTAATATCAAATGACTCTCTGGCAAAATTTTCCTGATTTGATAAGCCAAGCGAGCGAACAGTAATGATAATCACTCTTAGAAAAAAAAAATTTGAAGCTAGATTTATTCGTGATAAGTTAAGAAGTCCAATTTGTGTGTAGAATAGCTCATTGAGTTGTTGTTCAAATCGGAGCACCCATGCTGAGGTTCTCTTCCCGGCAGGAATTTATACATGTTCGGGCGATGCTGGCGACTCATCTGCACTTCTGTCGCCAAGTGATTCCCTGGCATATTTGTCTAGAACGTTGAACCAATGAAATAAGTCTAACCAGTTATGGAATGGAGTGTTGTTAAAGAAAAAAGTCAAATCCAATTAGATTTAATCAGTTAATTATTTCAAGATTTCAACACTAATTTGTCCGATAGGAATAAATCTGTCATTTAAAAAAAAAAATCCAAATGGCAATGAGGAAATATCTATTTCTATCCCGTTTATCCTCAAGTGATTTCTTTTGCCAAAAATTTCTTGTTGATCAAAACAGGTGACTTTCGTGATTTTATTCTCCTCTCCGATACGAACATATGCCACCTGAGACGTTTAAAAACAAATATACTTAATATTTATAAATATAAATATACATATATATTATACATAAATCATATAAATATACATATTATATAAATATAAATATACATAAGTAATACATAAGTAATATAAATATAAATATTTTACTTTATATTTATATTAATATACTTATATTAATATTTAATATGCTTATTAATATTTAATAATTATATTTATAAATATAAATATATATATATATATATAAGTAATATAAATATACATATTTTATTTTCTATATTTAATTATGAATTTTGTTGTAAAAGAGAAAAAAAGAAAATTCTTTTCTAAAATTCTTTTATTTTTAATTTCAGCGAATTGAATAAAAAATTAAACAATAATAATTAAAAAATTTTATCAAAATAATTTTAAATAATTTAAAATAATTTTATATAAAAAATAACTTTTTGAATTTTATGTAAAAAATAATTTTTTTTCTTCAAAAAAAATTTTTTTTTAATTGTTTTGGTTTTAAATAATAAAATCACGAAAGTCACCTGTTTCACAATTGGATCAACAAAAAAAATGATTCATTTGAATCGCAATTTTCCTCTAAGGATAGTTTTTTGAAATTAATAAACTAAGCTAATATTATAAAAATATTTTAAAATATTTTTTTTTAAATAAATATTCCAGAATTTTAATTTTTTATTTTTATTTATTTTAATTTTTAAATTTTGATTTTAAATTTAATTTTAAAAGTTTTTTGAGAGAGAAAAGAAAGTTTTTTGCCATTATTTATTGGAATATTGAAGGAGATAGGGTAAGCGAGTGATTCGAAGGTACCAATAGAAATAAGTTAAATGTCATTTAAATACCCGGCTGATACTTTCGATACAGTTGTATTTCTATCTTCTTGTAATTCCTTTGTAAATTAACCACTCTTAACAGAGCACTGACCAGTAGGATTGTTGGGTTAACCAGAAATAATGAAATAATGACCAGAAATAATGACTGTTAACTGCTAACCTGTCTATTTATCTATATATTAGGTATTTTCTACGATTCTTCTATTTTTTTTAGAGTCCTCACCATTATTGGTTAAACTCGTTCCGCTGGCTTATCGCATTGCCATGGAGTACCTTGGCGACAGATGAGTCGCCAGCACTATCCGAATTTTAGGTTTAACCATACGGAGATTGGAAACTCAACATCGTCGCATCGAATTGGTGCGAAAACCCTTTGAGCTATTCTATCGCGACTCTAGGAGTTCTTTAATAAGGAAGACTTCTATAAAAAATTTCAACAAACGATTGTACTGATTGATTATGAACGATAAATGACAAATGATAAGACAAATGAATTGAATCATGTGAAAAAGAAGGAATCATTTTAGAGAAAATTCTAAGGGAGAAAAAAATAATTTAGTGGAAAACCTGATTAATTAACGAGTTGAATAAGATTTTTCACTTCTATTTTTATACTTATTGGATGACTGATTTCTAAAATATTTTTTAAAATTTTTTATATTAGAAAAAAACTTTCATATTTAGAAAAGAAATGAATTTTTTGGAATTCTTTAAGTCTAATTTCATTAATAACTGAAATTAAATCCCCCGTCTACACATTCTTCGTTTAAAAGATTTGAATTCTTCCTATTTTTCATCCAGAAGTACCATATTCCTTACGGTGGGTAGTATAGCCGAGTGGATACCGATTCGGAGGCAAGAGGCCGATTTTTGCCTTCACAAGAATAATATCATATCATCAAAGAAAATTTCTGTATGAAAAAATTTTGCAAATTTTTTTTTGAAGAGATTTATCTTCATTTTGTCTAACAAGAAATGATGATGATGATAATGATAAAGATGAAGAATTTAATTGATAAGATCAAGAACTGTATTTATTTGCAAATCTTTCGAAATATTTTTTTATTATTTAAAAAAAAGGAATATCATCAATATATTTCGCTTTTTTTCTTTTCTATAAAATTTCTTTTCTTTTTAAAATATATAAAATAATAAAAATTTGTCAAAATACAAAATAATCATCTATAATAAACTGGATTATACGATAAAAATTAATTTAGTAGATATCGAAGATAAGTGCGCAAAGTTAATAGCAAAATTACATGAAAACTGGTTGTTGTTTTCATGTGATTTTAATGAGGACAAATCGAATGGAATTTTTATTTTAAAGCCAAGGAAAGCCAAGCAATGATTAATAAAAATTTTTTCTTGCCTCTTAACAAAAAATAAAACCTATAATGATAAGCGAAATTTCGAATTTTAATGGTACTTTTCTCTCTAAAATGACGTGCAAAGCGCGAAGAAACGTCAATCTTAGTGGTTAATGAAGTTGTATAAAACGAAGAAAACATGAAAATTTTTGGCATATTTTTTTTTATAATTATAAATAATTATAACAAAAGAAATTTTTTTATTTTTTTACAAAAAAACATATGTTACATATTAGTGGGAATTCTCTTGCAAGCATTGCACTTTAACATAGAACAAACTACCGACGCGAGAGAAATATCATCGTTATCATCATCCATATCATTGCTTTTATCACTTTTATCATTGTAAATAATCATTTTACGAGAGCATTCATTTTTTTTTTGCTTAGAAAAATTCAGGTGAATTTCATGCTTTTGCTTTTTTTTAAATTTTTTTTTAAGATTATGAAATTTTATGAAAGGATTTATTAATATCGAAAGCTATAATATCATATAGCTATTAGTGATATTTTTAATTTTATTTGAAAAATGGTTTTAATTTAGAAATTTAATTTAAAGGAAAAAAAAAGTTCAATGACCTCTGACCTTCTTTTCTTTTTTTCCATTATTCGACTATTTTATCGTATTTGTATTTCAATTAACGAAGAGAATAGCGTTAGAATTAGTGACTTAATAATAATAGTAATAATTTATTTAATTAGTTGATCAGACAATAAAAATTAAGTACCATTAGGGGTTGTTACGAGCTATTTTTCTCCTATTTCCGCTCTTTTGCTATATGGAATGAAAATAGATGTAGGTGGATCCTAGTACCAATCAGCTTGGTTCCATTATTAATTATCATTTCGATGATTCACACATCGATTAAAAGACTTAAAAATTTATAACAATTCGACGTTCAATAATTATTTTAATGTAATTAATTAATACAAAATATAAATTAAAAATAAAATTTTAATAAAAAAATAAAAATAAAATTAATTAAAATAATTAATTAATTATTAATTAAAAATAAAAAAAGTAAAAATAAAAATTTTGAAATTTTTTAAGAATTTTAAAAAATTATTTTTCGTCAATATTCCAAATTTTTTTAATTCGAATCGTCACAACTAATGCATTCAATTGAGTTCGCCATTATTACCCATTTATTATGTGCATTACATTCCTATTTTGAGCAATCGTCAGTTGACAGTCAATTCCATAATTGATTCGTCCTGTCCTTTTAATCTCGTCCTGTCTATCCGTCTGTCCACCTGTCCGTCCATAACCGATTCGTCCTGTCCTGTTCGTCTATCCGTCTGTCCACCTGTCCGTCCATAACCGATTCGTCCTGTCCTGTTCGTCTATCCGTCTGTCCACCTGTCTGTCCATAACCGATTCATCCTGTCCTGTTCGTCTATCCGTCTGTCCACCTGTCCGTCCACAATTGATTCATCGTATCCTCTTCATCTGTCCGTAACAAATTTGTCTTGTTCTGTTTATCCGTCCGTCCATAATTGTGCTTCCTGTTATCCATCCGT